CCCTAAACCCTAAACCCTAGCTCCCTGAGGAGATGCGTTTGTCGGAGCTGGTGCGGCGTCTCCAATCCCGAACAGGTTCGGGCTGGCCGACATGTTGGTAAAGCCAGTAAAGCCCGGAACCCGAGGCCCACCCCCCTAGCCCTATTGGGTTTAGGGTTTAGGAGGGTTCAGGCGTCTAAACCTGCGTGAACGTGAAGCAGATCCGAAAATTCAGCGCGGAGGTTTCCACCCCTTGAGTCTCACGGTTATGGTCAACGGCGAGCTCTGCGACAGAGGCAGCCGCGAGGATCGTCTTGTTGTGGAGGAGCTGAGTTTGCTGAGGCCTGGGGTTGTTGCAGACTGGTGTGTTTCCTTACAGCCCCTAAACTTCCTAAACGATATGCTACAGTAACAACTGCGCACAACGGCTCCGTGACTACAGTATGTCCCTGGTTCTTGGTAGGGAAGTGGGGGATCGATGGGTATACGGGACGTTAAGGTACTATCGCAGTGATCTGCCAAGTACCAGAGACGTATCTGAGAGCCCCTAAGCCCTAAACCCTAGATTCGCTGTGCTTGACTACCGAGCCTGTAGGTCCCGCCAGGAGATCGTTGACAAGGACGGCTTCCGGGTAGGCCATTGGAATCTTTTGTATTTCCATGATTTGCTCCTATCAGCAGATATGGCTTCAGAGGCCCGAAGTCCGCAAACCGCTAAGGGTCGACATAGGCTTTTTCTTAGTACTGGAGCAAGTGGCCATGAACGTTTCGTGTATTACAATCCCGATATAGCCCAAGAGACCAAACTTTGGTTCGCCCTAAATCCTAAACGATTCGGCCAAGCCCAAGGGCTATCCTTCAGTCTCACCGAATCCCAAGACCCTAAACCTAGGCTTTTTGGAGAAGCTGAAGGAGGCTACGGATGGATTCAGAAGACAATTCCTGGACGCCTTGATGGTGTTTTGGCGCGAGCTGCAACACGAGAGGCTGATGCTAGGTCCTCCTTCAAGGGGGTGGTGTAGGGTCCTCCATAAGCATCTTAAGCGGGCTCTAGGGCTCTAGGGCGATCCCTGTTCTTAGGGAGATGAATTGGAACTGAGCATAAACCCCGCTGTTCAAAGACAGCCCTGGCAACAAAGCTCTTTTAAATTAAAACCTTTACAACATCCTCTACCAATGTTAAGCGCCTTTCAGTTAAGAAGCCAAGGCAACAAAGCCCTTTAACATTTAAACTTCACAACATCCTCTAAGCCATGTTAAACTCCCTTAATTAAGCGATTTAGAAAATCCTGAACCCTAAACCCTAAGCCCTAAACCCCAAACCCTCATACATCGACCCTCAATTCTCGGGAACCTAGGACGAGACATGCATGGCGGCTTGCTCCAAACCGCCACCATCACCGCTTCCATGCTCCTGCCTGGGATTTGGTAAGTCCCTGGGATTTGGTAAGATGGCTCCAGGAAGTTGCTCGGCTTGAAACATTTACGGCTAAGGCACTACCTTAACCCAGCTTGAGGGCCCAAGACTTGATTTTTTGGGGGGCGAGGGGGGGGGGTTTAGGATTTTAAGAGTTGAAGTAAGGCGTCTAGTACAATCCAGTGATGATACTATATCCCTAGCGGTCCGAAGGACCCAATAATAAGGTACTTTGGATGCGGATAGTAGCATTCTAGGTTAAAATTTGGGAGAGTATATGATTATTAGGCACTTGGACCCTTAGGGTATACCTTGGGGACCAAATGACCCTGATAAGTAGGGGCCGTATGCCCTTATACTATGAATCCCAATATAGTATATGAACCTGAAAACCTTTTGGGGATCATTTCGTCCTTAAGATGTACTAACCCTAAACCCTAAACCCTAAACCCTAAACCCTAAACCCTACCCCCTTTTA